TAACGCATACTACTTCTACCTCAAATTAATTCTTAAGCTTAATGATACAGTCAAGCACACCAGAAACATAGGCATTCAACATGTTCAAAGGGCCAAATACTTGGTATTTGAAAACAACACCTAAACATCACATTGCCAACTATAATTCAATAAACACTGGCAGTGTGAAATCGAAATAAGTGAAAGGCATTATTACCGCTGCTGTGTTTAGCATAATTTTATTAAAACAACAATTAATGGTGTCAAAGAAAAACCCAAATATGGTACAAAGCAAAAGCGGGGGTAGTGGATTCGCCTTCGCCCAAAACAACAATTAAAACAAAAAAAATACAGGTAAATCGAAGAAGGAAGCATGGGAGAGAACCTGATTTATCCATTGCTTAGAGAGATGTGGTGATGATGATCGTCGCTGCTTATCGGCGAAGGAATCGCTGGTAATGGAGTGAAGATGTAGACGAAGGAGACCCGCGTAGGTGGAGGTGCACGAGTGCGGTAATTGGACTCCTTCAATAACCTAATTTTAATGGAAAAAAATAAAAAGGGATAAAGGGTATGATAGGAAGGGTTTGACACCATAAATAGCTAAGTTTGTAAAAAACAATGGGTAGTGCTAAATGCGTATTTTTGGTTGAGTTAGAGTGCTATGTAGGGTGATTTCTTTTATTTTAAAAGTTTGGAGAAACGGTAACTTTTTACAATGAAAATGTATACGCTCTCTAACTTTAGTTTCATACTTTCGGGAAAAGTTTATGCAATAATCAAATAACCGTTTTTTTAAAGAATTATAAATTATGATCCCTTTTCCAGCTTTGTAGGACCCCAATGCTACTGTGTTTATATAATTTTTAAGGGTTCTAGTAAAACCTTCAGCTCCAATAATGAACAACAGAGGAGATAAGGGATCACCTTGCTTCACTCCTCTCCTCATTTGAAAGTATCCTTTAGGCTGTCCATTGATCAGAACAGAGATAAATGTCCCATACAGATTCCCCATTAGTAGACTTATGGATTTCTTAGAGAAACCAAAGGTAGAAAGACATTTTTCAAGGTAACCCCAAGATATGTTATCAAATGCTTTTGCCATGTCAAGTTTAATCATAATGTTTTTGTCTCTTACTTTATCTTTAATGTGATGGGCCATTGCATTAGCAATCAGCACTTGTTCTTCAATTCCCTTGCCCTTCTAGAATCTTGTTCGCTCTTCTGAAATCAGCTTAGGTAGCAAAGTCCCCATTCTAGTGGCTAGTATCCTTGTAATTACCTTACTCATAAAGGTAGAGAGGGAGATTGGTCTGTAGTCTACCACAGTTGGGAAAAGTTTATTCTACACTTTTTATCAAGAGTAAAAACAATAACATCCTTTCGATTCAAGTTTATGTACACAATATTATTTTCGGTGCTACTAACGAATCTTTTTGCGAGAAATTTTCAATGCTAATGACTAGTGAGTTTGAGATGTCAATGATGGGAGACCTCACATTCTTTTTGGGCCTATAAGTAAAGCAAATGAGAGATGGCACCTTCATTTCCCAAACTAAGTATTGCAAGGAGTTGCTAAAGCGGTTCGAAATGGACAACGCCAAAGCCATGGCAACACCTATGAGTTCATCAGACCCTCTTGACAAAGACGAGAAAGGTAATGAAGTAGATGTCAAGAAGTATCGAGGTATGATCGGATCCCTTTTATATCTTACCGCTAGTAGGCCGGATATTATGTTTAGTGTATGCCTTTGCACGAGGTATCAATCATGTCCGATGGAATCGCACCTAACGGCGGTTAAACAGATCATGAAATATCTTGTTGGCACGGCTAACGTTGGACTATTGTTTGCAAAATACTCCTCGTGTCATCTCATTGGATACTCCAACTCAGACTTTGCCAGTTGCATGTGTGACCGTAAAAGTACGAGTGGGATGTGTCACTTGCTTGGTAGTTATTTAGTTTCATGGTTTAGTAAGAAACAAGTCAGTGTTGCGTTATCCACAACCGAAGCGGAATACATTGCCGACGAGAGTTGTTGTGCTCAAAGCCTTTGGATGAAGCAATAACTAGTGGATTATGGCCTTAGTATCGATCACATTCCTCTTCGATGTGATAATACTAGCGCCATAAGCTTGACGAAGAACCCCGTTCTTCACTCAAGGACGAAACACATTGACAATATGCATCATTTCATAATAGATCATGTTCTCAAAGGTGATGTCGAAATTAAGTTCGTTGAAACAAACAACAAATTAGCTGACATTTTCACAAAATCTTTTGAGAAAGAGTCGTTTGTGTAACACCCCAACTCGCGTAACCCGAACCAAGGATGTAACGAATCGGGTTGGTACTAAATTGTTATTCACAACACAACAAATTTAGACGAATTATTCAAAAACATCACGACACCCAGCTAATTACGAAAAGTTTGGCGTAAAGTCCATCATGTGCGAAAGCAATAAAATAACTTCCTACAACAATGTTTAAACCAAACAATTAATCAACGCATTAATTAAATATTCAAAACAGGAATAATGACATCATCCACGGCGTCACATATAAACATCCTGCGGGCTGGCCCTCTTGATCCAAATCCCTACATGCGTGCAGTCAAAGACAACAAGACTACACGCTCAGCTGGAAGCTGAGTGAGAAAATATCTAACGCTAAAATTTATTTCACAGATACAAAGGTCCAACGGTTAGTGAACAATCAACATTTATTTTCAGATACAAAGGTCCAACGGTTTCAATTCATTTATTTTCAAAGGGCTATTTTTGTCCCTGCATCACTAAGGCTAAATTCAACAGACTAGAGTTACGAACTCTCGAGCAGATCCCTCGAGGCCAATGCTCAAACAAACCCAAAGAAAATCCTCAATGGGCGGGTTGGAGTCTCTACCAAGAAATCCCTTGGTAGAACAGTGACTATCGTACGTACATTTTGAACCCTGGACCACTGGATATGCAAACATGCTCCACAAGACCCTAACCTAACACTAGTCCTATTGGTGACTAAACTATCCAATTTCGTTCAGATCTGCCTAGGTATACTAGGTGGCCAATTTTCAACAGAGTTCTCAAGTGATAACAAGCACTTAAATATTTCCATAAGCAGAACAACACACTCAGCGGCCTATCGGAAGAATCATTTCTCACCGATTACTATCATGCTCAAACAACAAGATTAAACCTAATAATATTTAAATAACTTACCTATGACACAAACTCGAGACTAAGGAATTATCCTCAGGCTCGCTGCACCTGCTGAAATAGTACCAATTACCACCGGATCAACCCGACAACCCGCCGAACTAACCCGGCGGCCCAAAAATCAACCAAAGAAACCCTCCCAGTGGCTGCCCACCGCCCAGCAGCCCTACCGCCACCTCGGGGAGCAGGCCCAAAAGGCCCAATAGCTGCCCGGCAGCCACTAACCGGCCCGACAGTTCCCCAACCGGCCAAATCCATCCAATTGAACCCCAAATGAATCCAATTGCACCCATTCAACTCAAATCAACCCAACTACATTCAAATTGACCCAATTGAAACCCGGACAAACCGAATTAAACCCATTCGAACCCAATCGCACAAGAAGCCACCCAATTGGACCCGAATTGAACCAATTGAACCAATTGGGTCAAAATCGGACCAATTGGGTCCAAACTGGACCCGCCTGGTCTGCCTAGCACGCCGGTCGCATCCACCGCCGGCCAACCACGGGCGGGTTGCCGAACAAACCGCCCCAAATCCCCAAATTCAATTCCCCAATCAATTCAACACAAAATCGACCAAGAATCTCACAATCGAACGCAAGATTTATACAAACAAGATCCTAATCTACAAATTAACGCTAACGGAAGATATTTGGACAACGAATCACCTTGAACTGAAGAATTGAAACCGGATTGGAAGGGAAGGAGGAGTTTGCCGCTGCAACCCCCTGGTGTGACCGGAGCAGCTACGCGACGGGGAAGAGGGGGAAAACGGTGATGGCGATGGTGGCATTCTAGGCGGACTCGGCGGCTTGCTGGGGTTGCTGGCTATTGGTTGACGGTGACGAAACAAACGCAAGGCAGAGGAGAGGAAAAGCAAAAAAACGGGAGAGAGAACGAGTTAGGACCAATAAGGATAGATTTAAGCCCAATTACCTTATTCGGCAGTCGTATCTTGGGCCCAGTAAGTCCGATTCTCAATCCATTTGCGCAGTCAGGTTCAGAACAGCGAGCCCTACAACGTAGGTCAACTCCCACATTAGATATGCAAATTAGAAAATAAATCTTCGTACTGACCGACCAATTAATTAATTAATTAATTAATTAATTATATAAACTAATTAAAAATACTAAGCCGAGTTTCGGGGCGTTACAGTTCTTCTGCATTCAGGGTGAACTGAGAACTCTTGACTCCAAGATGATCTAAGTTATGCATTTTATTTTATTAAACGTTTACTAAAATCTGGGGAACCATGCAAACAGCGATGTTAAGGGAGCGTTGTAGCCTAGAACAACGTTCCTCTGCATTGCTGTTCCAACAACGCTATTTTGCACCCAACAGTGTTGTAGCCTAGAACAACGTCAATCCTGAAAACTAAGCAACATCGATGTTAAGGATCCAACATCGGTGTTACACGGAGTTCTCTTTTTGCATTTATTTCCTGGAACACTCCCAACAATGTTGTTCACTTCATAACATCATTGTTTCCATCTTTCACATTTTTTAAACTTTTCGCATAGCAACGATGTTGAGGGTCCAACATCGATGTTACAAGGACTTCATGGCATTCACTTTTTATTCAGAAACTTCTTAAACAGCGATATTGAATCTCAAACATCGCTCTTATTCATTTCAACATTTTTACTGCTTATCGCACAACAGCGATGTTCAACAATGAACATTGATGTTCCAACAATGATGTAGCCCAGTGAACATCGATGTTCTGCGCACAGTTTTCAAAAAATAAATCCATTGGACATAGCTTTTAATTTTCCAATAGCTATATTTTTGAATTATCAACGGCTCAAACACTCCATCTCTATATATTTACACCCCATTTATCAATTTTTACTCACACACTCTCACTTCTTTCGCATCTATAGGCAATACTCATAAAGATCCTCCTCTGTCTTCAAAATCTCTGCAAAAATGGCTAAAGACAAGGAAAAGTCCGCTACCACCGGGAAATCCAAGTCGAAATCCAGAGCACAAATGAGCTTCCCCGACGACCGCTTCCACTACCAAGACGAGTCGTTCCTATGGTTCAACGTAACACCAAGGAGGAACTCATCCGGTTCCTCACATAGTTCGCCAAACGGGGAGTGGCACTGCCAAAGACCCTCCCGGAAAAGCTAGGTTACGACACCCTTGATGCACAGCTGCACCAATCTGCACTTTGGACCTTCGTCTCCAAGTCCAAGAGGACCTACAATCTGGCGCTGGTTCGATCCTTCTACTCGAACCTCCGGCGTGACAGAGACGTCATCTACAGCATGGTCAAGAACACGCCGCTTGAGCTCACCCTTGAGCATCTTGGACGCATCGTCGGGCTTCCCTTTCAAGGCAGTGACATCTCCAATTACGGCAGAGAAGACTGGGTGTAACACCCTAATCCGTCCAGGTCTGCAGCCCCTTTCGGACTAAAGTATTAACTTGGTAATCGTAAAATTTAAAACTTTTCAAACACTTTTATTTATCATAATAATATTTTTCATATCATAAACAGTACAGAATTTTCAATATTGCGGAAGCTTAACAAATCATAACCACAAACATAATTTATTTATATTCTTTAATTCAAAACCATCACATCCATTCCGACTATCTCGCCTCCGTCTGCCTCCAGGATCACGTCACATCAATCTATTGACCTGCGTGTAACAAATAAAACACACTACACGCTCAGCGGTAAAGCTGAGTAAGCATATCTAATGCGTCGAACATCCACATAAATTGAATCTCAATTCATAATCAACCATTTGATATCATGCACATAATGTTTAGTTCAGATATTCAATAATCAATATTCAATTTTCAACATTCATCATTCAATCATCCAACATGTATATTCATCATTTGTCATTCAACTGTATCCTTAAACTATTCTTAGTCTAAGGCCAATCACTTTAATATTTGTCAACCCTTTAATGAATTCTAGTTTAACTAATTAAACTATATTCCAGTATACAGAGTAATCCTAATAATTCTTAAGCTAGGCCTAGTTTAAGATAAAAGGGTTTTGGAAATCTTAAACTTACCTTCACTTAAGGCCAACCAAAAACCGACAGCGTAGTGTTCACTGTTGGGTGGGTGGTACCCCCAAACGAGTAGGTACTCAAGTTTGGTTCCTGGATCCCATACGTACGTTTTAACCCTAGGCACCGGGCATCATACCCGCAAGGCCTAACTTATATAGGTATATCTTAGAGTTCTTCTAGATACCTTTCAAATCAACATTAATATGGGTACATCTTAGAGGTCTTCTAAATACCCTTAACAATACATATTGTTTTCACAATCATCAATATATTCATTATGATTTATAGTTTAATCCTCCATAATCATTTTAATCAGTAGTTCATCAAGTCATAATCATTATAATAATCATTCATCATAATCATCAATCAACATAGCATTTGATAATAAACAATGGCCTAGCTTCGGGTGTTAACACCCTAACTTACCGTCATGCATCACATAACATTTTTATTTGTCAAAACATCATATTTATTTCCACAAATCATTTCCATATTGATCATATTGTTTGATATCAAGAATATGTTTTAAATAAGTTTTCTGCATGCAATAATCTATTAAACTGAGATGCAAAATCGATTAATAGCTACTGTCTTCATAAACTTAGGTGGAATAGGTAGATAATCGATCAATTAATCCATTAATCCATTAATCACAATCTATTAATCCATTAACCACAATCCATTAATCCATTAATCACAATCCATTAATCCATTAATCACAATCTATTAATCCATTAATCATAAAAATCGATTTTTGCTTTTAAAATAATCCATTAAATCAAATAAATCGATTATTGGCCTAAGAATAATCGATTAAACAAATAAAATCGATTTTTATTTCATAAATAATCGATTAAAAATCCGATTTCTTGGTACCTCGTCTTAGTAAAGTTTTAATCGATTTTTAGGAAGAAAATAATCGATTTTCGGCTACTGTTCATCATCTTCTTCCTCTGGTCAGTTTCGAGTATTATCATTTTTAATCACCAAACTTCAATTAAATTATATAGCAATGTTCCCCAATCTTCACAGATCATTTTAGAGTCATTAATTCGTAGTTTTAATAACAATTTCATGGTTTATGATTCCTGGTTCTTCAAACATGTCAAACACAAAACTCAACCAAATGACCATTTATAAACGTAGAAACGACCTATATAAACATTCTAGTCATTAGATATATCAACGGGCTTACCTCGAAGGTAAATGAAGGTTTTGAAGATTTTCCGGCGAATCTTCCGGTGACGATTACTCCCAACTCCGGCCACTACGACGGCAACAAACAACACCAGTTTGCTCTCCTTACTCTTGTGAACACATTGATACTTAATTCATAATTTTTGGTGAGGAATGAGAAGGTTGATTGTTGCTTATATAGGAAGAAAATGGGGAAGGTGACAATGTTGCTGCGTAGGATTTGCGTAGGAATGCATCTTCTATCGGCTGAGTGGAGTAGGAGGCGCCGTCCCTGATTGGGACTAATTTTGGTCCCGGTACACTTTTTGTTCCAACTTTCTCCGAATTGAAATCCATTTGCACCGTTGCGATCGTACAATTAAACTCTATCCAACGATATAATTTTTATATTTATTCGTTATACTTTTTCCAACATCATATTTTTGGTGTTTGACTTTGACAGAGTCAAAATTTGTTTAATTGACCTTTATTCAAAAAGGTTCTCACATTTAATTCATATTATTTATTTCCATGATTTATTTCAATAAATCATTTCAAAATTCACATTATAAACAATTTCTTCATTTATTCTTAATTTGGGTCTGTACTCAGGTTCCCAATCAAGATCACACAATAAGTCAACAGGTTGGATTTATCTCTATGAGATTTAACCCAAATTTTATTTATTGGACATCAATATATATTTTATTTTAATCAAAACAAATTTTGTTTAATTGAATATTTAATTCAATAAATTTTAGGGTATATTTTGGGGCGTTACACTGGGTCATCAACAACGAAGGGTTGGTTATCATCGGGCATCATCCAACTCATTCGCCAAGCCACGAGTCGCCCCACAATTCACTCTCCTACCCCCAAGAGCCGGCTGCTCATCTACACCGTCTCCTGTATCCTCAAACCTCGGAATGGCAGTCACACGATGATGTTCGGTGAGGACATCAAGATTCTCCACACCATCATGCATGTGGCACCGACCAAATTCGTGATGATTCACATGGCCGACGCCACCACCATCACCCACGACCACGTCTTGCCATATGCCTTCTTGGTGATGGATATTCTCGAGCACGCGAAGATCACCATCACCCTTGGGCCTCTCACCAAGGCCACGAATCTTTGGACAATTCACGACCAAACCTTCAAGAAACGGTCGAAAAATGCCGCCCTTGCCGCACGCTGCAACACTACTCTAGGGAATGCCGCAGCGCCAGCCTGTGCCACTCTCTCCTTCATTTCTGACTCCCTCGACCGGTTGACTCTCATGGTCGACAAGATGGGTGGCTACCTCGAACGGATTGACGAGGCGGTTCAACGCTAAGAGTATGCTATGAACGCATACTTTCAACGCGTGAACTACATCCCTCCACTATACCAAGCCACATTCCTTGGCCAAGTGTACAGTGAAGATGAGGAAGGGGACGCCTCCTACACTCCTTCGAGCTACTTGGACAAGGATGAGTTCGAGGATGTGATCGATGGCGATTCAATGGACGTCGAAGATGATGAGGTAGAAGACAACGAAGAAGAGGATGAAGACGAGGACTAGGCCACCGCTCCTAGAATTTTTATCCCTTCTTTTACGTTTATCTCGTTTTTTTATGATTATTGTAATGTTTCCGTTGTACTCGCATTTCCCTGAGAATTTTAATCAAATCTAAGTTTGAAAATCTTTTTGTTAATGTCAAAAGGGGGAAGATAAGGGCTATACATACTTTAAGGGGGGACATTTCTAAAACGTGTTTTGAGACGACATTTTTAAAGGCATAAATTAAGAAGGAAATTTTCCAAACATTTTCAAACTTCAAACCATCCTCCTTGTGGATATCCCTGCCTTGTTTTCCATTATCAAAAGGGGGGAAATTGTTGGAACACGTGTTTACGCCTATGTCGTACTAAAGTCGTGTTCGTTTTTGACAAGTTTTGATGATGCCAAACTGCCGTGAATATGAGAAGACATTGAACAAACTCAATGCGAAGAATATGTCATGTGATCAAGTAAAAACAAGAACCAAGAACGAAGACGTAGAGTTAGAAAATAGTTGAGTCGGTCTTTATTTGATCAAGACCGGCATTAACTTTGCTAACCTTGCTCTCTAGGTTAAATTCATCAAAATAATATTCATGCATCATTAAAACTCTTTTCATTAAGCTTTCATAAGCCCAAAACACTTGGCATTCGTTCAGACCAAAAACCACACGTCCAACATTCAGCTTTCAGAAACGAGCATTCAACTTTTGGTTATTGATGTTGGTCTGTGGCATCCAAACCAACCAAGTAGTTTTTAAATTTTTATGATTGGTTTTTACTTCAGGGCATATTTAAATATTTCTCCAAGAAAAGCATGTTAAAAATCACCTTTCATTTTATGTCTTTTGGTAAAAACCATGTGAAAATGAAATAAACTTGGATAGCCGTGGTTTTTACCTTAATGACGTGGTTTCTAAGATATTTCACTTGATTTCTTATTCAAATAAATTAAATAAGTGTTTTCAACACTTGGTTTTTAAATGGGAGAACTTTAATTTTTGACATCGGCTTTCAACGTTGACCGGCTAGCAATGGTCCTAGCGAACTAGCCCAACAACGATGTTGGATATGCCAACAATGCTTTTTGGTGTTGCACCTGAAAACCATGGTTTACAATTAACTCTCCCAACAACGATATGGGATTGTTAACATCACTGTTATGCCAAGCCTAAAACTTCTGGTAGCCTTTGAAAAAACGATGTAGGAGTCCCTATAACGATGTTCAGTTCAAGGATAAGAAAAATGAGTTTTGGCAGATTATTTTTGAATAGCGATGTTGGCTCAGGAACATCGATGTTAGGCAAAAATCTTCCTTTGGCAGGTTAAGCCTGAACAGCGATGTTCACTTGTGAACATCGATGTTGGCACCTAACCGTTGCAAGATATTAAAGGCTAAAACTTTCATTGTTTGGAAGTCAAACCCCAAAACAACATTGTTCACCCATTGAACATCGATGTTGAGGTGACCGTTGCAGCTTCTAGTTTGAACGTTTAAGCCTCAAGAGCAATCTTCAAGACTTGAACATCGATGTTTTGCCTATTTGCAGCAAATCCATTTTTAAATTAAATCCCACAAATCATGCCAATCACCCCCAATCAACTCCCACTCATTGGAGCGTAATTTTCAGTATAAATTATGGTGTTTGGGTCTGTATTTCTCATCCAATTACTTCACAAATCACATTAATTCATTTCATTACATTCTCATATTTTTCATAGCTTTTGAGAGCCATTTTTGTGAAGTTTTGTTGTGTTCTTGAGCGTTATTAGTTTAGTCAATATCTATTCTAAAAGAGAGTCTTTGTTCTTGAGTGTATTTGTGTTTGAGACACTAGATAAGAGAAAGCAATTCTCTTGTTGGTTCGAAGGAAGGGTTGTTTCCTTCGAAGATTCGTTGAGGTTTGTGTAACTCGAACTTTCAAGTTGTACGGCTTTGTTAAGCACTGTTAAGCTTAACTTTTATAGTGTAACTCAAGAGAGTCTCTCAGGAGGCTAGACGTAGCAACACGTTGGAAAACGTGCTTACGCATGTCATACTAAAGTCGTGTTCGTTTGTGACAGGTTTTGATAATGCCAAACTGCTTTGAATATGACAAGACATTGAAAAAACTCAACGCGAATAATATGTCATGTTGATTAATTAAAAACAAGAACCAAGAACGAAGACGGAGAGTTATGTGATC